AAGACTATGTAAATAGCCAGTCTAACCAAAATGAGTTATTAAAGGGCATGGGAAAATGGGCCAGTGTGGAGAATGAGCAGAATACACACACAATCCCAACCCATGTAAATCTGATGGTGATTTCTTGGCTCATGCAGTCATTACTTATAAAATGGACATAAGGAGGTGAAATGTCTTATGTTTGAAAAATGGACTGACAGCCTTCATATCTCATAAAGTAAACAATCACATTGTGGGAACAAATGTGTAAGTTCTCTCTTCAGACACAGGCAATAAATCCTCTCCACAAGTAATAATTTCCTGTTAACTAATTTTTAAAAATACCTAGTGTTATTCTGAGAGGGTTTTCTGTTGTTGACACAGATGTAACCTATGTCTTGACTCATGAAGTTTCCTGTTACCATCAGTAGATCTGCAGAGGAGCTGCCTCCATGCAGCTGCCTGGGAGAAAAGCTACAGACGTTCACTTTCAATGCTCCCTACCACACAGGAGCCTCCCTGCAATCCTCTGGCTGTGCAGTATTCATGGTAAGTGGGAGCTTCCCTATTTTCAGTCAGGCATGACAGGGATGGCTTACCATGCCCACCAGAGCAGGCAGGTGCTGACCAAAGTTAACACATGAACAGGATGTGATCAGCACAGCCCCAGTTCACAGTCTGCAAAGGTATGTGTTTGCTGACCACACAGCCTGTCCTAATCCTAACAAGGCAGGGGCGAGGGTAACAGAAATTCTCAGATATATTTCCAGGTTTAACGCAGTCCTCACAAAGGTCCAATGAACCCCCTTATGCACTAAAGTCTTCATCAAAAGTTCTTTGAATTACAGTCACCCCGGTGTGCACAGGACTCTGGAACACAATCTTCCTGTGTAGCTGCGGTGTGTATCCTGTGACCAGGACCTTCCCATGTCATAGGCTGCTCTTCAGATAGCAGCACTGCCTCACACAGTTGAATACTGCAAGGAAAAAGCATGTTAAATATTCTTTATATGATTGTATAAAAGTATTAATTCAACTGTGAACCTATAAATGTTGTAGCTGCCTTTAAAGAGATGTATCTTTGCTCTGGAAATTGTTATTGAGTATGCTAAAGCTATAATGAAATGCTTCTTCTGAAAAATTAAGAACCCCCCCAAAAAAGATATACTTTCTCTACTATAAAAATATTCTTTATATGAGAAAATGGAGGAAAATTATAACTGTGATGACTATGGGTATGTTAATTATGTAAGTGGATGAAGGGAGGAGCCCAGAATTTTCCTCTCTATTATCAGCCATCTAGGGAAAGGAATTCAACTAACTTCAAGCCCATCAGTGGAGAGTGGGACAAGCTATTTCTCAATGGACAAGAGTCCACAGAGACATCCACATGTGGACCCTTTTTCCCCAAAGATTCTACAGAGGCCAGGTCCAGCCCAGGAAACCCTGGGGGCAAATCTTGGCACCTGCCCCCAGTCAATCCCACTTCTCCCTGAAGTGGTGGATGGAGTTCGCCCATTTTATATGCCCAATCTTTTCATTCTGTCTTCTGCTCCCTGTGCTGTGTGCAGTGGGGCAGGCAGGCAGAGCACTGGGTGGACATTGTCAGGCCTTTACCAGAATGCCAGTGACATGGGGTCCTTGACTTTGCTTTCTTGGTTGGAAGGAGGCCTGCTGTTCCAAGGGCTGTTGGTGCCAGGCGCAGGAGAGTTGTTAAAGCTATTGTCTATGGTGTTGGGGACAACAAACTGGGTGTTCTATAGCCAGGGGATGAGTATCTGATCCTGGTCCATCCTGGAACTCGCTGCCCAACAAGGTGGGCTCCCATATCACCACAACACTATGAGGAATAGAGATGGCCCCAAGCATAATTGGGGCAGGGTCTCACTCAGCCCAGGGAAGCCATTATCCCCAGGGCCCCGAGAGAATTAACACCCCACTCCCTCTTCATGCCTATGCTGGGTAGCTTCAGTTGTTAACTTGACACACGTATTTGGAACGAATCTCAGTTGAGGGATTTCCTCTGATGGATTGACCTGTTGTCATGTCTGTGGTACATTTTCTCTTGATTGTTGAGTGATATAGGAGGGCCCAGGGAACTGTGGGTGGTTTCACCCCAGGGCAGGTGTTCCTGTGTTGTGTAAGGAAGTAGGCTGAACTCAGGCCAATTGTTCGCACCAGTAAACAGACTACCTCCATAACCTATGCTCCAGGGTCCTTTCCTGAGTGCCTGCCTTGGAGTCCCTTGGTGATGATTAGCTTCAATTGTTAACTTGACACACGTATTTGGAACGAATCTCAATTGAGGGATTTCCTCTGATGGATTGACCTATTGTCATGTCTGTGGTACATTTTCTCTTGATTGTTGAGTGATATAGGAGGGCCCAGGGAACTGTGGGTGGTTTCACCCCAGGGCAGGTGTTCCTGTGTTGTATAAGGAAGTAGGCTGAACTCAGGCCAATTTTTCACACCAGTAAACAGACTACCTCCATAACCTGTGCTCCAGGGTCCTTTCCTGAGTGCCTGCCTTGGAGTCCCTTGGTGATGATTGGTAGCTGTAAGGCAAGTGAACCCTTTCCTCCCCAGGCTGGTTTTGGTCAGTGTTTCAACACAGCATTAGAAAGTTAACTAGGACAGACACAGATATCAAGAGTTGCATATTGCTGTGGTGGACGTGATCACTGTGTGTCTGAAGTTTGTGGATTGTTTTTGTGCTTTGGACTGGAAAAATGCTTGGAAATCAGAGAGATATTTTGGAGGAAATTGGAAGATAATGCTGATGGAGGCGCATGCAATGTAGGTTCTATCAGGGATAAGTGTGATATTTTTTGAGTTATGCTTTTTGGAAGTGAAACTTTTGTGCTTTCCTGGGATAATCCACAGTGACCAGCTGAGGCTGAAAAATCAGCGACGAGTAATAGGAGATCCACGTCATTGAATGAAATCTTCTGGAAGTATTTCCTAACGATCAGCTCACAGACACTGTGATCCAGAGGGGTCAAAGTCTGCATATCATCCTGGCAGCAGAACTTGTAAATGTGTAAGAGTCTCTCAGGTGGTACTGGTGTTGAAGATGCGAAAGGTCATGGAGAGAATCTTTTCACCCAGAGAGGCAACTGCTGAAGGTGCAGGCTCAGTTGCAATGAAGACCCCAAAATACTGGAAATACCATGACAATGGTATCCACACCAAGAGCAAAGTCAGAGAAGTGGAGCTGCCCATAACCTATGGAGTCCAGAAGACGGTGATTGAATCCCAGGTGTTCAACATTCAGCTATGTTGCTCAAACTTGGGGTGGCTTAAAGTTCTTCCCTTTTGAAATAAGTCATTATGTAACATTTTGGATCTTACAAGAGTCCACAATTAATAGATTTCAGATAATCTTAGAAAGAAATATTAAGCTTTAAGAGTGTTTGAATTTTTTTCCATCAGCAAAGAATTACTAAAGATTGTATTTGTACACATATGGTCACAATTTTTCCTTAAAAAGATTGTTGGGAAATGTACATAAGGCCACTTTCAAATGTACATCATGTTAGTGTTATAATGTCTTATGTTCAGAGAAAAAACATGTTATCATACAGATTTTCGCTTCTTGGAAGTAGGCTATTTATGTATGCATAGTAGGTTGTGCATAATACACAGACTTCAATTAAAAGTGATCCAAATCCTAGCATGTCCATATTATTAACAGTGTTAACAACTATGTCATAAAAGTATTTTCAACCATAATAAAAAACAAAGCTTGTTCATTCTTCTGAAAACATATAAAGATAAAAAAGAATTAACAACCACTATCAATAGGGTGAAATAAATTTACATTATACAATACTATATTGCCAGAATAAAGAGGGCAGAGATGTATTTGTACAGTAAAATGCAAATATTTCCCAAAGAGATAAAAGAAATTCCATTTACAGCATGAAGATTTACAAATGCAGACCTGTAGAACCAAGGAAGAGTGTCACTACTAAATTAGCAAGGCTTTTATGTTTACACTTTGAAAGTGTTTGAATTTTTAAGGGCTGTGAGAATTCCAAAGTTGTACTGTTTACTATTATGATACTAATATTGACGTGAGATCTTGGGGATAGGAAATGGAAAGGTAGTGGTTGAAAGTTCACAACAGGTGAATTGTGCTGCATAGCTTTAGCTGCCAGTTTGATGCATCTAGTAGGAGGTAACCTCAATTGAGAAATTCCTCCATTGGACCGGCCTGTGGCCCTCCCTGTCTGTGGGGAATTTTCTTGATTATTGGGTGGTATGGCAGGGCTCAGCCCACTGTGGGCAGTGCCACCCCTGGATAGGTGCTCCTGTGTTATATAAGGGAGCAGGCTGAGCACAGGCTAGGAGAGAAGCCAGTAACCAGAGTACATCCACAGTCTGTACTCCAGGTTCTTTCCCAGAATTCCTTCATTGGCTTCATTTTATTATGGATTCTGTGCTTTAAACCAAATAATCCTTCTCTCAAAGTCAGTTTTGGTCAATGTTTTACCACAGCAATAGAAAACTAACTAGGACAATGCCCAAGTTTACAGCCCCAACTCTGACACTTTTGGCTCCTAAAATACTTCCCAATAAATGACACCAGAGCATCACATCTTTTGCTGATTAACCACTGGATTCTTTGAAGAAGTATCAATCTACTCCATATCTCCCTAACCCATCTCCCTCAGATTTTATGGGCTCCTAAACTTATGTCCACATGTAAGAGAAGGAGTATATCATAACTATGTTGGGGAGCAAAATGTGTATGTATGCCCATATTTGCATGTTTCTACATAGGCAAACATTGAAGTCTGCATGTCCTCCTATTTGTGAGTATGTGTATGTCCAATATTGTGTTCCCCCCACTATCTGTCCTGAATGTCTTGATGTTCTCATGACTGATTCTGTCTATTTATTCAGTTTGTGACTTTGACTGAGCCTATGTGGTCACTGTCATGAATGTACCTGCCAAGGATTATATCAGTCAAAGGAAGAGCTCGTGCTGGCTCCAGTGTACATGGGGAACACTGTCTAAAAATATGGAATGCTTCTAGACTTCGTATGTCATCCCTGACAGGAGCCATGTTTATCTTCTATGTAGTATTCTAATTTTTGTATATGCACTTCTAAAGCAAGAAGTAATCATGTTGATTTTTACAGTTATAATGCGGATATGTATGAAAATCATCAAATTGTATAACTCAAAATATACTTTTACTTAACAGCAAGTCTAGTAGTTGATTTGCATTTGAATTTTCTTCTCTGCACATTCATATTTGTGAGTGACTATGGAAGAGGCAGTGAGTTGTAGAACACTTGCCTAACAGGACTGAGGCTCTAGTTTTAAAGCAACAAAATCCATCTGATGGTGGGTACCTGCCACCAGCGAGGGTCTTCTGAGTTCCCAGTGATGGTCTGTGTTTCTCCTTAGTGTACATCACTGTGTCCAGTGAGAAGGACTAAACGTTGTGAGAGAGTCTTCACATTTTCATATCTGTGACTGACAGAAAAACAAATGCCCACAGACTATTTTTTTCCAATCGTGTCTCAGTGGCCTGTTCTTGTGAAGTTTTCTAGGCTGGCTTTCCGGTGGGCTCTGGGGGTCTGCCTCACAGTGTCTCCATAGTTCTGAGGATGCTGTGGTATAATATATATCACCACTGCTGATGTCAAGGTATACTACAGAACTCTAGTTATAAAAAGCACATGGTACTGGCACAAACATATACACAGAGATCAATGGAATAAGTGGAGGATCCAGATATGAGTACAAACAACCACACAACTACACAACTAGAGCTACATGGTCTTTGACAAAGATGTCAAAATATATATGGGATAAAAAACAGCATCTTCAAAAACTTAAATTGGGAAACAGGAATTTCAATATGCAGAAAAATGAAGCTAGTTCCCTACGTCGCACATGGCCAAGAATTTAATATAAGACATGCTACACTAAAATTACTAGATCTAAAGGTGGGAAATTCATTTGGTTTATAGGCACAGGTGCAAACTTTCTGTACAGGAGTTTCATAGTACAGGAAATAAATACAATAGATTACCAAATAGTATCTTATGAAACTAAAAAGCTTCTGAACAGGAAAGGAATCTGTCAGTTGTCTGTGGAGGCAGCCAATAGAATGGAAGAAAATCTTTATCACCTATAAATATGACAAAGGATTAGTGTCTAGATAATGTAGAGAACTAAGAAGACTAAACATTAAGAAAGCAAAAAAAACAATTAAAAGTGAGCAATGTAACTTAAGAGAAAAAAATCTGTAAAGGAGAATTATAATGGCATGTACTTGGCTATCAGGACAATGCAAATTAAGAGTATGTAAAGATTTTGTCTCACCACAGTCAGAAAGCCACCACTAGAAAAACAAATGACATGTTTGTGTTGAAAGGGGGACACTTAGGCACTGTTGATAGAGTCTGAATTAGTGAAACCACTTTGGAAAGCAGTCAGATTTCTCAAGAAAGCTAGAACTAGAATTACCATATGACCCAGCCATAACAATACTGTGCATATGCCAAAAAAGAATTTATGTCTTATTTCAAAGATGCTTATAATCCATGTTCATTGCTACTCTGCCCATGAGAGCGAGGAAAGGGAGCCAGCTCATGTATCCATCAGGTTCTGGATGGTTAATAAAAATGGGTATGTAAACACAGTGCACTAGTACTCAGCCATCAGGAAAACACGAGACCATGAAACTTGCAATAATTGATGAAACTGGAAAAGCTAAACTTACTGAGGTTATCCAGGCCACAACACACAACAGAAACCTGGTCATCTTCAGAAGGTTCTTCTCTTACTCTGGACTGAGAACCCTGATGCTCATACAGTTTGAGAGGTCAGTGTGTATACAAGGCTCTCCTCTCAAGTCTGCTGTGTGGATAGACCCACAGGGAACATGTACTGGATCTACCTCCTCCTGAGGTGTTCAGATAAGGCTGTGCGTCACAAACTGTCACTCACATGAGGTATTTCTGTCTTTATTATGACATATTCTACAGCAAGTAGCAGTAGAGAATATTTCAGCCTATCTGTTCTGTGGCTTTTAATGTCCCAATTCTGCTTTTTAGCTCATCATTTTATCTGATAAATTAACAGATTAATCATGTTATATAGCCCTCCATCCTTTGTCCATGCATCGTCTGTTCATTTATTCCTCTATTCTTCATTCACTATCTTTCTATTCATTCACCCATCCTCCTTCCATCGATCCTTCTGTTCACTCACCCACCCATCTCCAATCCAACTTCCAATACATTCATTCATCCATCGTCCATCTATCCTTCTGTTCTTTTACCTACCCATCTTCCATCCACCCTCCATTCATTCAGTCATCCATTGTGTATCCATCCTCCCATTCATCACCCATCTATCATCCATCCACACTCCTGTTTACTCAGTTTTCCATCTCTGCTTCTTTATTCCAAAATTCATCAATCCATGTTCATTTGCATAGTTTTTCATATAATACTCAAAGTCAAGTATGATTTGTCAACTTTCAAATAACATACAAGGAAATGTGTGACAAATAACAATCTTTTACTCTGTGAAAAATTCCTGTAGGCAAAGACTTTTAAAAAATCCAATAATCACCCATGGTGTTTGATCAGCTCTCTTTGGGCCTTGGCCTCACCCTGCTGAGGTTTCTATGACTAGCTGACTGACCAAGGATGCTTTTCTCTCTTAGAGAGAACATGACTTCCTGGATTTATTCCACCCATCCAATAACATACAAAAGAGAACCTGAAGCCCAGACCAATGAACTATTCACACCCAATCAGAAAACAACCATGCTATATCAACAAATTTTTACAGAACTTAACTTCAACTCAACAAAGGCAGGCCTGAGTTTCATAATAGACACACCAACAACGAAAGAAATCCACACACTCAGACCACAAGGGAAAATACAAATAAAATGAAAAATCAACCTAATATGTCAACAATAACTCCACTTGTCTTATAGAAGTGTTCTACAATGAGAATTACCTAGGGGAAGCCCATGACTATAGAATTTGAAAGAACAATCATAAACAAGATTAAAGAAATCAAAAAAATAAATAAATAACACACATTCAAGTTAGGAAACTCAAAGAGGATAGTGTTGAATCTCTACATGAAGCTCAGGAAAATGAAAATATTTTATTGAATAAAATGACAAAGACAATTCAGGAGCTAAAAAGCAAACTCACAAAAGAGATAGAAATATTGAAGAAAACACAAGTGAAAATGAGGATGGAATTGAAAAACTCAATAAGACAATTTAAAATGACAGGACAAAGCTTCAGAAGCAGAATGAATTAATGGATAAAGAATATCAAGCCTGGATGATAAAATTAAAGAATTTTAGTAAATTACCACTCTAGTGAAGATTAGGAAAAAGTTTTAAAATGTAGGATTGGAATATACAGGAAATATGGGACACCATAAAAAGACCATAATTCTGAATTGTAGCAATAGACAAAGGAGAAAAGTCCTAGGTCAATATCATTGACCAGATCTTAACAGGAGAAATATAGAAGAAATATAGAAGAAAAATTCCCAAAATTAATGAAAAACAAACCCAATGCAGACAAAAGCAGCACACATAACACCAAATAGACAGAAGAACAGAACTCTCCAAGGAATTTCATAGCAAAAACACTAAATGCCCAGAATGAAGAGTGAATACTGAAAGCTAAAAGACAAAAACAAGTTATATATAAAGGAAAATCAATTAGAATTACAGGTGACATCTGAATGCAAACTTTTAAAGCCAGAAGAGCTTATAGCAACATATTCTAAATTTTAAATGATGATAGATGCCAACTCAGAATACTTTACCCACTAAAATTGCCTATCGTAGTCTGGGCATAGCAGGGTGGGGTGGAGTTGCTCTGTGAGCAGGTTGGAGGTAGGTTAGGGTGGGATTGTATAGGTTTTGGGTGAACAGAGCTCAGATGGTAGGGGACAGGGAGTTCTCAGGGACTGAATTCCAAGCCCCAAGTCTGGGGCAGGGGAGAATGCCAGAGACCCAGGCTGGGATTGACTCACTCTGAAAAGGTGAGGTGTGTGCTGACCTAGGATGGGATAGGATCCCTGTCATCCAGGGAAGTCTGAGAGCTATGATGACAGGCACTAGTGAGTCTCAGGGAAGAAGCTCCAAGCCCCAAATCTGAGGGAAGGAGGATCCTAACAGATCCAGTTCATGATGAGAATTGAGATGTTGTGGATTGAGTCACTCTGCCAAGATGTGGTACATGGTGATCAGTGATGGTATAGGATCCCTGTGACCTAAAGAATTTTGAGAGCTAAGGTGGTGGGACGTTAGGGAGATACAAAGAAGGAAATCCAAGCCACAAGTCTTGGAGGAGGTGGTATGTCTGGAGACCCAGGCTGAGGTCATTATTGATAAGGTTTTGGTTTTACTTACAAAATATAGACATATTAGATATCTCTACAACAGAATCACGTGATTCCCAGAATTTCTGGGAGGCATTGGGGTCTGCAAATTTCTGTCCACGTAGGGAGAGTTGTATCCCTGAGTGACTCTCCATTGGGTATGGAGTCAGAACCTTCAAGGTTGGTGGACACCAGGGCATATGCTCACTGGACTCATCCTGGGCTTCTCTGACTGGTCGTCATAGGGCACAGCAGTCACTCTCTTGATGTCATGAGGTACACCTGAGCCTGTCTCCAGGTTTTCATGCACAGTTGGGCATAGGTCACATCCAGGGATCCTCAGACCCAGCATCCTGGAGTGGGAGAGGGTGAGAGGAAGGTGATGCCTGGTGTTGGTAGCCTGGGGCCTGAGGAAGACCTGACCCACCTCACTGTCCATCTCTCTGTCTTCCCTTGAATTGAATAACTTCCTTGACAAGGTGGAAGGAGAGGTGTCCCCTGCCTTCCTGAGCCTGGAGGGTTACAGCTGTGCCAACATCTCTTTTGGTGTTTCTTCATCAGGGGGGTTCTGCAGTAGGGAGACAAGGAGACAGAGACAGTGTCTCCTTGTTTTCCTGGGGTCTGCTCCAGTAAGAGTTCTACAGAGTGACCAGTGATACTTTAGACTGTCAATAAGACTATGACATTATTATCTGGTCTTCATGGGCTTTCTGAGTACTTGGTCTGTCTGGCAGC